CCATAGGTTACAGAACAGAAAACCAGTTCTTGGAGGAGTAGAGTAGCTCAGCCTCATCTGAGGCATCCCATTCTAAGAAACCAAATGGTACCTGCACTCCTTGGGTGTTTGTTTTTTTTTTAAGCAAATTTCTAATTCCTGTTCTGCTCAAAATCTAAGTGAGCAGATAAAGTGCTGCTCCAGGCAAGACCAGCCCTTATAAAGGGATAAGTGGAGTGAATCCCTTAGGAAATGGGACTCAGGAGTGATTGTTTTAGTGAGAGATAAATCAAACTGATGGTTCATATGAACAATGAGCACATTGCGGTTGTCAGAAAGAGGCACCATCATTCACTCAACAAATAGACCTGCAGGACCTCTTAAGAGCAAGATGATGCTTATGTCGAGATGCAAGCCTCCAGAATGTAGCAGCCAGACTGATGAAGGCTGTATGGAGATAGCAAGCAGGAGTGGAAGAGCCTAGGAGAGTTTGTGAGCCTGAGTTCCAATCCTGTGCCTGCCATTGAATGGGAAGGTATCCTTGGTCTAGTGATCTGACAGCTTTGGTCATCAGTTTCTCTATCTCAAATGTGATGCCATTTCTTTAAGAATCTCTTTACCTTTTAAATATCTATGGAACTACTGAATCAACTGTGCTTTGATGTGGAATTTTGAACTGCCTTAAATAGAATGACTGGTCATTTAGCAGAGCTTTGTTGGATTCAGTACATTCAGAATACATGTCAAAATGTATGAGGATATTTTTTAAAATATTCCTCCCAGTTTTTTTCACCCTAGGTAGATATACAAACATGTTCACGTTCACATCGTGAAAAGGATATTTCTCCTAAACTCATGCAGAGATACTTTTCAAGTCAGTGCCTTAGAAGTCAGTGAGAGACTTACAAGAGACCTAGAGACCCAAATGGGGTAGGCTGAGAAGGTACATGGGGAGAGTGACGTAAGATCCCAGGGAAAAAGTGTGGAGTGCAGGGCTGGTTGTAGGCCTGGGAATCAGGAAATTAGAGTTCTAATTTCAGCTTTTCCACTGATTCACTTGGGACCTTGAGAATGTCCGGCCCATTTTTATAATTCTGTGCCTCAGTTTCCATATCTGCCAATTAGAGTGCAAGTCCCTGGCTGGGTGCCCTGGACTGTGAGAACACACTGTTCAGGGCCATAAAAATATAGTCAGTTCCAAAAATGCAAAACATCCTAGTTACTGGATGTCCTAACTTAAAGTAGAAATGTCAACAAGAATAATTCCTTTAATGATCAAAATGAGCATGTTTTACGAAGTATCTATTGGGTGAAAATTAAGCAAATAAGATGACTGTAAAGGCTTGTAGTCCTGAGAATATATAGGCAGAAAGAGCACAGACTTGAAATATGACCAGTTCTAGCTTTGCCACTTAGCATATGCGTGATTTTGAATAATTTCTTAACTTCCTGCCGTATTCTCATCTATAAAATGGGAATAATTTCATGCATCTCAGTGGCTTGTGGTGAAGATGATTACAAATGGAAGTTTTTTTTTTTTGAGCCACTGGTGGGGTTTGAATTCACAGCCACTATGTGCTTTACAGCTGATAGTTTCTTTTATTACAATTGTCTATTTAAAAAAATCTAGTCACCAAGAGCAAGGAATTTTTCAATGCTACTATTTATTGAGCATTCACTATATTGTTGTGCTCTGTACTATGCTAATTCTTTACGCAAATTATCTCATGTACTCCTCTAATACTAATTACTATTGTATAAATGGAGATAGAGAGAAACTAAGCTTTTGTTTCTGACTCTATTCTTCCCATAACCTGCCTTTTCTTTTTCTCAGCTGCACCTAATTGGCTATACTTTTAGTATTCTTTAAAGCCACCTTAAATTTTCAAGACTAAAACAGCAATAACTAACTGGATATATTTATATAACATGTTATTTTTGTCATGATGCTTTCCACCCCTGGAGACCTGCTCTAAATTCACTTGGATGTTTGAGGATAAGTCATGCTCACCAGTAGTTTCTGGAAAGCACTGAAGACTCAGGCACTCAGAAATTTACTAAGCAACTTAAAAGAAAGCATAAAAATCTCCAGTATGTTCGTTGAAAAAAGTATTTATGTTTATGCTTATAAAAATAAAATTATCAAGAAATCTTGTAACCTAAACATCTGTACTCTCATAATATGCTGAAATTAAAAAAATAAAAAAAAAAAGAAATCTTACACTCATATGTTCATAGATATCTTCACTAAGGACCTGTTGTATATATGGCATAACACTGTCCTCAGAGACCATGCTGTGGGAATTATTGCACTTACCAGAAGGGTTAAATTCAGCAAACTCTTTTTTATTAATGTGCCTTTTAATTATGAAATACTATGCTCACCTTAGAGAAAACTTGAAAAATATTTTTGTAAAGTGGTGCAGTACTAAAGAAAGAGTTGGTATCTTTGACACCAGATTCAAACCTCAAATCCACCTCTTATTCACTTCCTGGACAATTCATTAACATTTCTTCACCTCAAGTTTTCCTATAAAATGGGAATAACATATTACAGAGTGGCTGTGAGTTAAATAAGAACCGTCTGATCATAACGGCCAGCCGACAGATGTTGATAACTATTCCTTCCCTTGGAAAAGAATCTCCAGGCAGAACTGCTTAGGGTCTTCTCTATAAAGAGGTATGAATCCCCGTTCCCAGAAAAGTGCTTCCTAAGCTCCTTTGGTAATACACTATTTTCTAATAAAAATTTGGATCATTTACCATTAGACCCTCAAATGTATGTACCCATTTCCAGGCTTTTATGGATGACCATTGCCCATCCTTTGACTCCAGGTTAAGAACACTTGCTCTAGTGTTTTAATTATGATTTTACCAAATCCTCTTAAAAAATAAAGACATTTTTAAAAAATAAAATTCTCTGGGTATCTTGCAGTTGACTGAAGGAAAACCACAGGCCTTTATTTTTGATAGCTTTGGGAAGAATGCAGTGTCAGAACACAGCCCCATAGCAAACAATTAAATAAGTTGCCCAGAAACATCACTAAAGTGTTGCTCTAATTTGTCACATATTTCCTGTAACCTTTTAAAACACACAAGTAAATGTTTACCTCTGAGTCTGGATCTAAATGGGTGAAGAAAAATTAGAATGACAATAACTCTATTTAAGTTCACTTACATAATTGTGGCCGTACCACTTTTTTCATATTATGTTATTTAGAATGTCAGATAATAAATCAAGAGACAGAATGTTCTAGAAAATAAGCTTTAAAAATTGGTAAGCACCGTGTACTTTTTCCAAAAGACATTTTATTGTGTTGAATCAAAGGTGGCTCTTTGGCACAGCGTCTCCAAGGAGTCATGCAAGTCCTCATTCCCTAATTCCCAGCCGGCCTGAGTTGCTGCTGACAGTTGTCAACTTGTTTGGATTTCAGATTACGTTAGATACCTTCCTATAGCAGCCACGCCAAGCAGTGGAGCAGGCTGTGCCTACCTTTCTGTTGGTAATTTTGTTCTTAATCCTATGCTTCATTCGGTTTATATAAATCCTTACAGAGGGATAAAAGCTCCTGAGAATTAATTGTTTAAGTGAACATGTACCTGGGAGAGAATGCTGTTGGGAAAGGGTCTGAGTTTGCATTCTGGCCCCGCCACATTGCGTTCACCTCTCTGAACCTCCATATCTTCTTTTGTAAAATGACAATAACATACCTTCCCAGATGGGTTTGAGACCCCAGATCACATGGAGATGATGCATGTAGAAGCATTTGGTAGCTGTTAAGTGCCGTGTATCAGCAAACTCATTTGATTACTTCCTACTGGCCATGAAAAGGAACTGCTACGGGATTCATTAGGTGTGGACACTGATATTTGTAGCTGTCCTTATTCCAAACTTTACTGTCAGCTTCTTTATTTCAAAGGTGAAGCTCTGTTTAGTTTTTTTTAAAAACTGCCTTCTCTTTTTAATTTTCTTCTTGCTCTTAATGTCACCTCTGTTCTCCTTAGCTCGCAGAGGTGCCTTAGGTTCATCTCATCCCCTAGCCTTGAAGTAATCAAATCCTGTGGATTCTTCCACTAACATCCCCAGAATCTCTTTTTTTCTCTCTCGCTCTTTTTTTTTTTTTTTTTCTGGCCACTTTTCCAGGCTTGGCCCTACCATCTCACACTTTGGTGACAGCAGTAGTCTCCCTGCTTTGAATCTCTTTCCCTTCTCCCCCAGCCTACACGCTGTTGTCAAATTCATCTTGACAAACAAGCATTGATTGTGGCTGTGCTCCCCTGCTCCATCATCTTCAATAGACTCCACTGTCTGTAAAATAGTATCTAGTCTGGCCTCCACCTGTCGTTCTAGCCTTGGCAACACAGGTCTATTCTGCCTGTGACACTTACCGTACTCATCCTTGCTTGTTCCTGGGGCTTCGACACGTTTTCAAGGTCCCTTCTTTCTTCCTCTCCAAATCATACCCTATTTCCCAAGCCTTGCTCAAATCTCACCACCCCATAAAACTTCTTGATGCCTTCCAGCTCACCATGATCTAATTTCCTGAAGTAATTCTGTTAATTGAGTAAAGAGTCATTCACAAATGATGAAGTAACTACTCCTTAACATTGCATGTCTTTGAAGCTAATAAAGTTATGTCATGTTCTTTATATATTATTGAGTGCTTTGTATCCTTATCCATGTTGTGGGGTTTTACTTTAAGGCAAGAAACTTAATCAGATCTATTTGGTTTTCCCTAGAGCAGTAGTTCTTACCCTTTTGCGTGGTAAAGAAACACCTGGAGAACATGTTAAAAGTTCTCCTGGGCTCCACCCTAGATATAATAAGGCGTGAGCAGAGCCCAAACATCAGCGCTTCCAGTGAGTTCCAGTGATGCTGATACTGCTGGTTGCTTTTAAGCTTCTCACACAGAACTAGCGCATAAAAACTAGTACAGTATATGTTTATGGATAGTGCGTGTTGAGGTTTTTTTCTCTTTTCTTCTAGTCTGTGCTCACATTCAGTCACTTCTTCCTTTCAGATTGACTTTGAAGATGTGATTGCGGAACCAGAAGGGACACACAGTTTTGACGGCATTTGGAAGGCCAGCTTCACCACCTTCACTGTGACGAAATACTGGTTTTACCGCTTGCTGTCTGCGCTCTTTGGCATCCCGATGGCACTCATCTGGGGCATTTACTTCGCCATTCTCTCCTTCCTGCACATCTGGGCAGTTGTACCGTGCATTAAGAGCTTCCTGATTGAGATTCAGTGCATCAGCCGCGTCTATTCCATCTACGTGCACACCTTCTGCGACCCGCTCTTTGAAGCTATCGGCAAAGTATTCAGCAATATCCGCATCAACATGCAGAAAGAAATATAAGTGACATTTGAAGGAGAGAAGTATACCTGATTCTTTTTTTTATTCTTTTAATTTTCTTGGTGCCGATTTCAAGTTTCAAGTTGCTGGTACAGCAACAATTTATGAATGAATTATCTTGGTTGGGAACAAAGAAATCACTTTCTCAGTTTTCAGAGTTATTATTTGTCTCTTGAGCTATTTCATCTGTGTTTTTGGCAGTCTGAATTTTTAAACCCATTTAAATTTTTTTCTTACCTTTTTATTTGCGTGCGGATCAATCATCGTTTTATCGGCTCAGATATGACCATATTATCGAAAGATAATTTGAGAGAAATATGAAGAACTGAAGAGGAAAAAAATAAGAACCAACAGCCTCAACTGCCTCCTCTAAAATGTTGGTCACTCCGTGGTAAGGGAAGAATTCCAGGCTATGGCCATTGAGAGCACGCGTATGCGGGCAGATTGTAAGCAAACTCCTGTCCCACCATCTGAGGAGTTAGTGGATCACTGCCATTCATTTTAATAATCCAGTGGGATCGAGTGATCCTTACAAGTTAGAAAACATAATCTTCTGCAGTTTCATGATCTGGCTATTGCCTTATTCTTTTTGAAATTTCAACCTATGATACTTTCTGTGCTTGAATAGTTGTCATACAGATAATGAGACTTAAGTGCCTTCCTGTTTTTCACATTTTCCTTTTCAAGTCGGGCCTAACTCATCCACTTTCCTTAGGTCAGCAGCCTCCCTGAAGACCCAAATCAGAAAATCCACGACCTGCTTTTCCATACTTGTTTCTGACTCTGAGTTAGAGTCTGGGGACTCTCATGTCTGCACCTGATCATGCCGCATCTTTATCCATAGCGAGTATGGTTGACATTAGCCCGATAAAATGAGTTAACATCGACGAATGGGCTGAGCCCTCTCTGGGCTGGCAGGAGTGGAAGCCAACTCTCCCTGCCTCTCATCAGCTCAATGAGGTCAGCATGCCTATTCAGCTTCGTTTATTTTCAAGAATAATCACGCTTTCCTGAATCCAAACTAATCCATCACCAGTGTGGTTTAATGGCTCAACATTGTGTTCCCTTTTCAGCTGATCAGCGGGCCTCTGGGAAATGGCTGTCAAAATGGAGGCCATTGTGTGAGACTGTCAGAGTTGCTGCAAACATGACCCTTCTGAGCAAAGCACTCACAACTGTCCGTTATGCTGTGACACGAGGCCCCTCCCCCGGCCAGGAGCTTTGGACCTAATCCAAGCATCACTTTGCTCAGAAAGAAGTTGGGGGAGGAGGCAGTCATAAAAGAGTGAAGTAATTTGCTGGAATAAGTTCAAATTCTTCTGAACTCAAACTGAGGAATTTCACCTGTAAACCTGAGTCATACAGAAAGCTGCCTGGTACATCCAAAAGCTTTTTATTCTTTCTGCTCATATTGTGATTCTGCCATGGGCGTTAAACCTTCAGTTATGCTTTTATTTTTATTTCCCTACGCTTATTGGAACTCTGCTTGACTTTTGCCTCTTTTAGTTTTCCTGACATTCTAATTACCAACCTGTTACCTACTTTGATATTCTGCATTTAAAACAGACACTGGCATGGACATAGTTTTTCTTTTAAACTGTGTACATAACTAAAATGTGCTATACTGCATACTTCTTAAGTGTAAAGATATTTTATCTTTATATGAGGAAACTCACTTGGGAAATGGCTTTGTAATTCAATCCGTAAAACTGTGTGTTCCAAGACATGTCTGTTCTACATAGATGCTTAGTCCCTCATGCAAACCAATTACTGGTCCAAAAGATTGCTGAAATTTTATATGCCGGCTGATATATTTTACACTTTTTTTATGCTGCATGTCTTCTAAAGGTTACAAATCTGCACAATAAAAATCTTTAACAGTTAAGCAGTTAGCTTTATTATTTTTCTCCTAAACTGGTGTTTATGTATCAGTGTCTATGTGTGTTTGTGTCTGTGTGTTTGTATGTAGTGAGCCATGTGCATAGTGTGAATACGAGTTTGGAGTGTGTTTGTGGGGGAGGGGTAATGGTATCCCAGTTTTCAATTATTGTAAAGTCATTTAGGTGGGAACTTTCTGCTACGGTCATCATTCGTGGGCTACTTTAGATAAAAGTTCTAATCAATAGCAAAGTTTTTTTAGCAGCTTACCCAATGTTTTATTATATGTCACCTAATTTGATATATTATTTATTATATGTCACCTAATTTGATATATAACAAATATTAATACTCTCATTTGGTAAATGACACAGTTTGCATTCAGAGGGTAATGACTTGAACTTTGCCATACCTTAAGTGGGATTTTTTTTTTTTTT